AGAGAGAGAGAGAGAGAGAGAGAGAGAGAGAGAGAGAGAGAGAGAGAAGGCAAGGGGGACAGCCAGACACTGACAGAGGGACAGATAGATGCTGGGAGGTGATCCTTAAGGGCCCGGGTATCCCAGGGAGTCAGTGGGAATCTAGGAACAGAGACAACCACGGACTCCAACAGCGTGGCTCAGGGAGGGAAACTGAGGCAGAGAATCCCAGACGATGACAGCAAGCCCCAGAGGACGGGGACCAGGCAGGGGAAGCAGACGAAAGAGAGGTGCGGACAGAGAGCTTAAAGAGCCAGACAGATGCGCACCGGCTAGGGGACGGGTGCACCGACAGACGGCCGAGGAGGGGCTTGCGAAGGACTAGGCACAGCTAGAGGGGACCAGGGGGCGGGCTGGGGGTGTGATACTTGAGCTTGGCGGCCCGGGGGGCTCTGATTGGCTGGCTGTCTCAGAGGTGGGCGGGGCAGCTGGGGGATGGGCAGCCGGCAAAGGAGCTGTCCCTCGCCCCTGAGCCCCGAATGCTGCCCGCCGGGTCTCCAGCTACGTGTGTCCCTGAGCGCCTCTCAGACCAGGTGCGCCCAGGTTTTCCCCGACCCAACCACCCAGCCTTCTGCAGCCTCTTTTGTGGGCATATGGGAGTGGGTCCAGGCGGCTTCCTGGAGAGGAATCCGTGTGTTCGGGTGTCAGCGCCAGTCTCTGGCTCCTACCCCTGTTCCCAGGCCGGCTCGGGCTCCCGGGGCAGGGGAGGGGGGCAGGTTCTGGCCTGTGCCTCCCCCCTCATGCCCCGCCCCGGGGCCCAGATTCCGGCGTCCGGGGGCGGACGGGAGACGCCCGGCCCGTCTACCCGCCTCGGGCCGCGTCTGCTCCGACGGGCGGGGCAGCCAGAGCTAGGGAGGGAGAGGGAAGCCCGCCCGGGCTCGGGCTTTGCGACCTGCCCCAGGGCGCCCCACCCTGAGACTCAAGACCTCCAGGTCCTCCTCCCTCAGATCCAGGCGTTCAGGCTCCAGCCCTCCTCCCTCAGATCCAGGAGTCCAAACCTCAGCTCTCCTCCCTCAGAACCTGGAGTCCAGACTCTAGCCCTCATTCTGCAGATCCAGGGTCCCAGCCTTCCCTCCCCCAGACCCAGAATCCAGGCTCCATCACTCCTCCAGACCGTAAAGTCCAGACCTTAGTCCTTCAAAACCAAAATTCTACCTCACTCAGACCCAGGTTCTAGACTCTAGCTAGCCCTTCTTCCTCAGAGGCAGAAGAATCTAGACCCCACCCCTACTCCCTCATACTCAGAGTTTGGCCTGATTTTTCCCTTCTGCCCACAGGTGTTTGTCGCCTGGTCCTGGTGGTGCTCAGCCTCTGGCCAGATAGAGTTGTTGCCCCTGGGCCACCACCTGGCTCCCCTCGGGTCTCTTCAGACCCTCGCGCAGATCTGGACAGCGCCGTCCTCCTGACCCGATCCCTCCTGGCAGACACACGGCAACTAGCTGCACAGATGGTAGGAGATTGGAGGGACAGGGTATATAGAATGACAGTCACTTCTCTCTCGGGCATCTGACGAGGGGGAGAGCTTGGAGGTCCCCTCACAGCTTCTTTCTCACCAGAGAGACAAATTCCCAGCTGATGGAGACCACAATCTGGACTCCCTACCTACCTTGGCCATGAGCGCTGGGACATTGGGATCTTTGCAGGTGAGAGCTGGCTGACAGGGAGGGCTGAAAGACTGATGGTTGAGGAGGCACGTGTGTTAACTTTTCCCTGACTTCCGTTCTTTGTCTTCAGCTTCCTGGTGTGCTGACAAGGCTTCGAATAGACTTGATGTCCTACCTCCGGCATGTGCAATGGCTGCGCCGTGCAGGTGGTCCTTCCCTAAAGACTCTGGAGCCAGAGCTGGGTGCCCTGCAAGCCCGACTGGACCGGCTACTTCGTCGTTTACAGCTCTTGGTATGCTCTGACTCCAAGACCTTTCACTTTCCTTCTGATCCCTTTGACCCGAAGAAACAGCAGCCTGAGATTTTGATTCCCCCACCCACTGAGACAAGTTTCTCTGTGTAGCCCTGGCTGTCCTGGAACAACTCCCTCTGTAGACCAGGCTGGCCTTGAACTCAGAGCTTTACCTGCCTCTGCCTCCTGAGTGCTGGGATTGCACCACCCTGTGCACTCAGGAGGAAGTGGTGCACCACCACCACCCTGCTGAGATTTTGATCCTAACACCTCAGAATCCCAGACTGACTTTTGAACCCCAGCCCCCAAATCTGATCCTTGCAAATGAGATACTCAAGATCCTGTAACTGTGAGACCTTGAGGTCCCAAGACCCCAGAATCCTTCAGAGTAACTCTTAACTGATCCCCAAGGCTACAAGCCACCACAGTTCATTGTCTTGTGTCCCCCAAATCCTAGCTCATGATACTATGAAACCCCAATCCTGACCACTTGTCTAAAAGTCTAGACTGTAAATCTCAAGATCCTTAGAACCAAGACCCCTACACTGAGTCAATGGGATGCAAATCTTTTTGTGAGAAATAGAGGCCTAGGCCTTAAGATGCCTAAAATTGTAAACCTCTAATATCCAAAGCCCCAGATCCTAGCCCTCCCCCAGCCCAGCCTCCCACCCCCACAATCTCACATCTCAAGGACCCTGTCCCAGTCTCTAAGATTCAAGATCCTAACTGAACCAGCCTTGACACTCTACAATGCCAGACCTCAAGTACAGACCCTAGCTGAGCATGGTAGCAGTTGCCTGTAAATCTCAGCACTTAAGAGGCACAGGTAGACAAGTAACAAGTTTAAGGCCAGCCTGATCTACTTAGTGATTTCCAGGTTAGCTATGAAAAAAATGTAGTGGAAACCAGTCTCAAAAAAGTAAAGCCAGGTATGATAGCACCTGATTGTACTCCCAGTGTTTGGGAGGTGGAAAATGAAGAGATCACGGCCATCTCAGCTGTGGAGTGAGACTGAGTGAGACTGATTCCAGAATCTCAGACCAGTAGTCCAATAGTACTGGTTCCTTAACCCCAGGCCCTAACATGGTCCCTAGACTCCAAGCTCTAAGACAGTAGCTCTGAAATTCTGAGAAGACTTGGCAAGCACCGTTCCCTAGCCCTCATTCCCTAGCCCCAAACCTGGTCCTTAGGACAGTAACCCTGTGTGTGTGTGTGTGTGTGTGTGTGTGTGTGTGTGTGTGTGTGTTCATTAAGACATGAACATACAGAAATGAGAGCCTAGAGTCCAGAGGTCAACATTGGGCATCTTTCCCTCTTGATCATGTTCTGCCTCAATTATGTTTGATTGCTGAAGTTTTTGTTTTGTTTCTTGAGACAGTGGTTCTCTGTGTAACCTTGGCTATCCTGGAACTCACTCTGTAGACAAGGCTGGCCTCGAACTCAGAAATCCGCCTGCCTCTGCCTCCCAAGTGCTGGGATTAAAGGCGTGCGCCACCACCGCACAGCTTTTTTTTTTTTTTTTTTTCTGCTTTGCTTTTTGAGAAGAGGTTTCTCACTGAACTTGGAGCTTATCAATTCAGCTAGACAGGATGGCCAGAAAATCTCCCAGAATCCTCCTGTCTTACTTACCCAGCACTTAGATTACAGGCACATACTGATGTGCCCAGCTTTTTTACGGGAGTCCCAGAGAGCTGAACCTGTGTCCTCTTGATTGTGCGGCAAGCACTTTACTACTTTATTAACTGTGCTTTCTCCCAAGCCACAGGGTTTGTTTGTTAAGAATTATTTATTTTATGTTTATGAGTATACTATAGCTGTCTTCAGACACACCAGAAGAGAGCCTATTACAGATGGTTGTGAGCCACCATGTGTTGCTGGGAATTGAACTGAGGACCTCTGGAAGGACAGCCAGTGCTCTTAACCACTGAGCTATCTCTCCAGTCTTGTTTTTGTTTGGTTTTTAATCAGGATTTATTTAGCCCAAACTGCCTTTCCTATGAAGCCTTGAGTCCTAATCCTTCTATGTCTGCTTCTCAAGTGTTGGGATCACAGATGAGAACCACCACCCCTAACACAGCTTCAGTTTTCTAAACTCTAGACCCTTGCCTTTTGCTAACCTTCTTTCTCTTTTCAACAGATGTCTCGCCTGGCCTTGCCCCAGGCAACCCCAGACCAACCTGTGGTCCCCCTGGGCCCTCCTGCCTCAGCCTGGGGAAGCATCCGGGCAGCTCATGCCATCTTAGGAGGGCTGCACCTGACCTTGGACTGGGCTGTGAGGGGCCTGCTGTTGTTAAAGACTCGGCTGTGACTCGGGACTGAAAGTCACCATCGATACTGTCCTTTAAAGCCATATCTTATTTATTTATTTATTTTGGTACTTGGAGGGGGGGGCATGATGATCAGGGGCATGCCACGCCCCAAACAACCGCCCCACACCCAGCTAGATACAGTCCTTCCAGGAGACCTGGGTGCGGGGGGGATCACCTGTGGCTTATTTATACTTATTTATTTAAAGAATTTGGGTGGGGGAGGGAGGGTACATATGAGGCCTTGAGGAACAGGGAACTGAGATCCTCGGTTCTGGGGTCTCTATGAAGTCTAGTCACAGTGTCTTCCTCACTTCCTACATTATTTATTAAACAATTACTTTTTATATTAAGAGGAGGAGGGAGGGGGAGAAAAGGAAGCCTGGGGTTTTATACCAAAATGTGAGTTTTTTTTGTGAGACACGGGGGTGGGGGAGGATTTAAATACATATCTATTTAGAGGTTATTAGCAGGAATATGCCAAAGGGATCTAAGTCTAAACTGGTACCCTAGCACTTCAAAGGTCCTCAACAGATACTTAACAGAAGGTTCTAGAACATCACCTTATAACTGATAGTACCTGCAAGGTACAGGGTTATTTATTTTAGCAAGATTCACAGCTAATGGGAAGCAGCCTAGGCTTTCTGGGGGATGGGCAGACGGGGGATGGATGAATAGAGACACATCCACATGATGGAATACTAGCTCGCCCGCCATAAAAAGGCGAGTTCCAGGCAAAGACTGCTTCCGATGTTGAACATCCCTGTGACCCGGGAGCAGCAGATGGTAGGACCACTTTCTATACATGAGTATGGATTTTTTTTTTTTTTTTTTTGGTTTTCAAAATGGAAACACCAAAATGTTGACTACAGCTGCCTCAGGGTTGAAAACAAGAGATGGCACTATGGGTGACTGTTATTGTGTTTGCATCTTCCAGAGTTTTCACCATGACTGTATTTTGCATGACACATTTACAATCAATAATAAACATTATTTTTAGAATGACAGCATGCCAGTCTCTGTCTCACCCCACTCTACATGCTTCACACCCTTAAAATAGGACTCAGAAGGGACCAAGGAAAGTGGTTATTTGAGCCTATGTCCTAGACCATACTGAGCCTAGCTGGTTGTTTTTTTATTATTATTATGAAGTTGTCCCAGATTCAGAAAAAGTTGCCCTGTTTTACAAAAGAGAGGGAAACTGAGGATCGAGGGGGAGGAATTGCTTTCTCTAGGGTATTTTGACTTGTTTTTGAGTCTTCCTATGTAGCTCTGTCTGGACTGGACCTCACAGAGATTTGTCTGCCTCTGCCTCCTGAGTGCTGGAATTAAAAATGTGTGCCACCACGCCCAGCTTTGTTGCTATTCTGGCAATACAGGTAGGCCTTATATCGTTATGGTATGAGGATTGAACCTGGGGCCTTGTGCATGCCAGGACAACACTTTAGCCCTCAACCGAATCTCCAAGCCCTTTATTTTTCTATTTATTATTTTGAGACAGGATATTGTTACATAGCCTAAGCTGGTTTCAAACAACAGTTCCCAGCCTCTTATTCACAGTGCTAGGATTACAGCTGTGATTGCCATGCCCAGCTATGGTGGTCCTTTCTTTACAGCGCAGTGTTCAGTTGATACACACACACACACACACACACACACACACACACACACACGAGCCATTGGGAAATGGCGGCTCAGCATAGGGTTGGGTCTTCCTAAGAGAAAGGAGGAGGGTCACTGTCAGAGCTAGGCCTGTGATTCAAGTCTTTGGGTTACTGATTCCTATAGAAGTTCTAATACAGATCCCTGGGATAGTGGTGGGGTCTGTGTCATCACAGTCTTGGAGCCAGGAGATAGGGATGTTCTGATAGAGTTCTGAGTCACCTATCCCAGCCCTCAGAAGACTCCACACCATATTCTGGAAGGATGAGGCCCCTAGGCAGTTCCCAGGAAGCAGCCCCTTGGTGTCTAGTGAGGTCACAAAGCCCCTCTCAAAGGTTCCACCCACGGGCCTAGTGCTGACTACCTCTCTGCAGGGCCATGGCCATACCAGAGTCTCTCAGCCCTGGGGACACTCCATTTTCTGTCACTGCTGAGCTCCTGACATCCTTGAAGCCCAAGGGTCCAAAGCTGGAGGGCTGGGGTGGGGGTCAGGGCTCCACTTGGGTCCAGGATCCTTGAATCTATACACCCCCACCTGCTGTTCTAGCACTCATGATGAGACGGCTGTGGAACTATTTTTATCCTCCGCCTCCCCCGGAGCCTCCGAAGTGGGTCCCCATTCTTGGAGAGATGCAGAAGACCCTCCAGATGGCCGAGTACCTGCCCCTCCGCCCGCTGCCCATGTTCGAGAGTAACTTTACCCAGGTCCCCAGCTCCCTGTGCTCCCGGAAATGGGGGAGGAGGGCTGAGACACAGGAAGAGAGATGGAACCCCTGGGCAGAGTGGGTTGAACAGGGATTTGGAATTCGAACTCCAGTAGGTAGAAGGTGGGTTTGGAAAGAAAGGAGGCTCTCAGGCGAGGGATGCTGGAGGCATGTTGGAGAAAGAACTGGTCCCAGCCCTGCTCCCTGGCTGCCCCAGGTGACCAACACTGGGACTCCTGCGTTATTGCACAACAAATCCAACAAGCTGACTATGGGTGTCGCAGCATCCTTGCCTGGCCTAGTGCTGCCTGACATTCTGTTGATTGCTCGGCCCTCCGAGGGCCAGGAGTGCTCCAGTCTGATCCTAACCAGGTATATTCTTCGAGCTCTCTCCTACCTCGCCCACTCCATCCTATCTATTGCACTAGCTACCCTGTCTCCCGCCTCCCCCAGGATGATCCCATTACACCTTGCCCGCCTCTATGTCCATGATCTGCCCACCTGGCGTCTGAAGCTGCGTCTGAGAACCGGCCGCCACTATTTCCTGGCACTGGATGCCCCTGAACATGAGCTGGCCTTTCTGTTTGACCGCTGGATTCGACTCATCAATATGCTTCGGGAGCCTAAATTATCCTGGCCACCAAAGAACAGGGACAACTCCCAGCTGGACACAACTCTAGAAGGAACTCTTGCCTCCACATGGCACTTTCAGGTGAGGAGTCAGTGAGTAAGGCCTAGAAACCACCGTCCAGATTCCACAGAGAACAGGGGACCCACAGCCCACTGCCTAGCCACTCCCACTCCACTGGAAAGGAGCTGAGATCCTAGAATGCTTCCTTTAAAGGGAGAGTCTGACCTCATGGGACCAAAGAAAAGCTGGGAGGAAGGTGCAGGTTAGGTAGGTGAGACAAAAATCATGGGGTGGAGAAAGCAGTTCAGTTGATAAAGAGATAGGAACTAGCAGGGCAGTGGTGGCACACGCCTTTAATCCCAACACTTGGGAGGCAGAGGCAAGTGGATTTCTGAGTTCGAGGCCAGCCTGGTCTACAGAGTAAGTTCCAGGACAGCCAGGGCTACACAGAGAAACCCTGTCTCGGAAAAGAGAGAGAGAGAGAGAGAGAGAGAGAGAGAGAGAGAGAGAGAGAGAGAGA